TGTACTATTTGCAGCAGTGCTTCTCAGCCATGGGCTCTTTATCAGTGCTGATGTCTAGGGGGGCAGGGTCTGTCTCCCACCAGCAGACCTGTTGAGAAGCACCAGTCTGTGCTCCTGTGTTACTGCTGCCACTTGATAAAGAGCACCTTTACAATGAAGGGGTCACAAGAATAACCTAAAATTTGCATTTCTGTATTATCCATCAAGAAAAACATCCCAGGACATGCAAGGCTGTACATACAACATCCAGGTCCTTATGTTCCAGTTCATATCAATGGTTAAAGAAGCATTCCCAATCACCAGTTTTATTCCAGACCCTGGTAGGAGGGAGATGGAAGCACTGGGTAATTCAACAGCAGTAACATGTATCCTAAAGCATGAGAGAGAAAAGGGAGAGAAAAGATTTTTAAAAATGGATTTATTAAGTCAGAATGAACACAAAACAGATTCAAATTTCAGTCAAACACAAATTGCCCCCAGAGAGAATACTTACCTTGAAATATTGTATTTGACATTACCAAGCCCAAATTTCTCATGGCCAGTCAAATCAGGGAAATGCTCCTTCTCCATATTCTGCTTCAGGATTTCCAGCCCAACCTCCTTGGCTACAGGAAAACAATAATCAGTTCAGTTGCCTTTGATAGTGCCTGGGAGTTCAGAGTTATGTTTCTGGCTTAGGAAATGTGATGGACACAGAATCAGCAAGAAGGTGGTATCTCACTTGAGACCCAGCAGTGCTATTTCAGGTCTCACTCCTAGTCATGACAAGAGATGAACTGATTCAATATCTGAGGTCAGATAAACCTTGATATGATGTACAATGATGTCAAGCAGCTTACTGACTTTGCTCTATTGTGCTCTTAGACTTTCCTTTATGGACTGTCATGAGGTCATTTACTCCCACTGCCCTCTTTCCTTTGTCATATCAGTATTCAAGGCAGTGCCATTAACAGCTCCCGAGAACATCACACACACCATACTCCAGCCCCTTCTGGGTGATCCTCACTTTGAGTCCAGGGTTGGCGCTCAGTTGCCCACTGAGCAAACTTAAGACGAGGAGAGAACAGCAAATCTTCAGCATCTCCCTCATTTTTCACAGGACCTGTTAATAAATATTTATAATGATAGCAGAAATTCATGCTGTGTCACTTGGTGGTTGTACTTCCTTCCCCCCTACCCTGGACACCAGCTTTCCCTCCAGAATGAAGAAAGTGGAAAGCCCAGCAACTCTGGAAGAGAAGACCCATTCTCCGCAGACTTACAAAAAGTCAGCTCTGTGGGGTAGAGGAGAAAAGTCAGCCTATCCACTGCCATAAAGACTGGGGAAAGTGCTTGAGACAAACATTGAATTCTTAGGCTATAATTTGGTGGTTCTACAGGATTCACCACAGGGGTGGTGAATGATGAAGCAAATGCCCATCCCAGGGGCTTCTGTAACAAGATTTAATCCAAGATGGAGCTATCTGTATAAATCACAGACTGCATGTAGTGTGAAATTCAGAAGGTCTTGCTTTTAGCAAGGTTTCCCAGGGAGAGTGAAAGAAGCCACCCTAATGGAGAATTTTTAAACAAAACTGAACAAAATCAAAGAATGATTTTGTGTTTTCCCCAGAGCTGGGAACAGCCTTCTATGGAGTTATTTGTCATCTGAGACTGACCTGACAAACAGGTCACATTATTATGGTTTTCTTCATTTCCAGCCACTACATTGGATTATGAATAGCTGAAAGCACAGGAGAATGTCTTTTCTAGCATTACTTTTACAGATAAAATTTCTTTAGTTACTATGGGGCTATTGAAGTCCTGGAATGAAAACATCTATAAGCAGACAATTTCCTTTCCTAATACCTGAAAAGTTGTTTTGATATTACTGCATCTTTCACTAGCTGCTTCATTACCAGAGGTAACAATATACCTCAAACCACTAGAATATTTTCAGTCATGATCACAATATAAACAATCTTCAAAACCATGAGAGAACACTGACTTAATTTTTTAACATTTCAAGCTATTCTGCAGAACACCTTTGCATTTTAGTATAACTAGTATTTTCTTTTTAAATTTTAACTGACAGATATTAAGAGTAGATATTGATATCTACTTCATATGTAGAACAAAAACAAAGGACTGTGGAAGGAAATGTTTTTGGCATATGCATAGTACTCAAACTTTAAAATCTCAAAATTTAACCAGATTTAGCTACATAGATCGCTTCCCAACAAAGCCACTCCTTGACAAAGAGTAATCACTGTGTATTTGTTTCCATACCTCTCCTCTGAAGACTGAAGAGATCTTTGCTGTAGCAGACCACAGGGCTGAGGATGTTGCAGGGAAAACCTTCTGCAGCCATGAGCCTGTCTTTTAAAGGAAAGAGCTGTGGGCTTCAAGAGAGCCAATTGCTATAATCTTCAGTGGTATCACCCAGGGAGTGGCCTCTGATAACCACATCCCAAGCTATTTTGGGTCTCCCAGGTAAAATTTAGCAAATTTCACTTAGGGACAAGCAGAGAACAATGTAAACTGTTGGCTGGGGGTGCTCAGGTGCCAGAATGCAGTTTGGGGTGGCATGCTGCCTTTATGGCAGATGGTTTCAGCACTGGTTTTTCAGATGAGGAGGAAACCCTGTGAGAATTCCCAGTGAGAATTCCTGTATTTCCACCGGACAGATATTCATAGCCATGCTTGTATTGTAAAATAAGTAAATTAGTGCGTCATTGGTATGAAAAACAGATGGAAAACAAGTCCCATCTGTCTGAAATTGCTCAGGATAGAGGAAACCATAAACAATATAGTATTTACATTATAACATATACACAGATATAAATACACACAGACACTACAGTGCATATATCTGGTACAAATATATAGTAAAAAGCCCTTGCAGTCAATATTTTCTATTTCTTCTGTTTTCTTATCCAGTTAACCAGTACTTCAGCTAACCAGTACTACTTGCCTTGTCAAGGAGGTGATTTAATCAATTAACTTGCAAGTTCCAAGCAAATTCCCCCAAGCACGGGGCACTTTGCTGGACAATCTGAGTCACTTCATTGTGCAATCCATGAATAGAAAAGGTAGAGACACTTGTCAGTCAGTCAACAAATTCTCATACTTCACACAGATTTAACATTCACCGAGGGGAGTCACATGCATAATAATTTCATTATTTGTGTCTCTGGCAAATGATGATGAATATAACTCACACCCTCAGTTACATAAACCTTTATACATTTTCTGGTATCAGTGAGGGACACCAATCTAATTGAAAATCTCTATTTCTTTCGAGTTCTTCTTCCATTCTTTTTCTAGTCACTCTTCACCTACCAAAGAAGACAAAGAATCGGAAGCCCTGCTATGATTTACTGCTATTTGGTTTCAGGATCCTTTTATAAGTATTCTATCAGACAGCTGGATAAATAAACTGATTCAGCTCAAACTACACAAGCCATGTTTCTATCCTGAACTGAACTTTCTGTAGTGTGACATTTGTAGTTTTCCTTTCCATACACTTTTAATGTCTCTTGGCTGAATGTCTTTGTTGACACCGATAAAAATAAAAATTTTACAGCTTCCATTTTACAAATAAATATTAGAGGTATGGAATTATTTGGAGACTGATACCCTTGAAGAGCTGCAGCTATTCACAATCAAACAACTTCTCTATGACAGAGAGGCCAAATACAGCCTTGGCTGCAGTGAGCATGAGACTGTCGGGTTTCAGATGCTGGGAGAAGCAAGAAGACAAAGAACAGAATTACAGCCATAGACTTCAGATGAGACCTGCTTGGCAGGATCTGTGGGAAGTTGCCCTGGAGAGCAGAGGCCCAGAAGAGCTGGCTAATCTTCAAGGGCAGCCTCCTCAGAGCATAAGAACTGCCATTAGAATGTTCAGACAGTTGAGCAACTGTGGCAGAAAGCCAGCATGGAGAACATGGAGCTCCTGAGTGAACCTAAACACAAAAAAAAAGCGTACAGAAGATGGAAACTGAGACCAGCTACTTGGAAGGAACACAAGTATCTTGTTTGCACACATAGGAATGAAATCAGGAAAGCCAAAGTCCAGCTGGAGCTGAAGGGCAGTGGGAAAGGTTTCTGTAAGTACACTGACAGCAGAAGATGAATGTGGGCATATTGCTCAGTAGGATGGGGGACCAGTGACAAAAGACATAGAAAAGGCCACCTTTACTAGCAAGGCTTGTCTTCTGGCCTGCACCAGCAGGTGCCACCAAGGGGGCTGGAGAACATGAACTACAAGGAGAGATAAGGCTGTTCACTTTAGAGAAGAGAGAGCTTGAAAGGCCATTTTGTTGCCTGCAAATTTTGTAAAGAGACTACAGAGAAAATGGAGACAGACTTTCCTTGGAAGTGTGGTGAAAGTACATGCTGGAAAATGGAAAATACTGATTAGGTACTAGGGAGAAAAATTTACTCTAAATGTAATTAAACAGTGAAACAGATTGTCCTGAGAGATTGAAGAATCTTCGTCCTTGGATGGGTTCAAGACTCAATTAGACACCATGCTCAATAACCTCATCTAATTAGTCCTGTTTTCAGCCAGTGTCTGGACTAGATGATATGATTCTATAATTACATGGGAATTCACTGAGCTTTATAGATCTGTTCCCACCTATTGGTGTCCAGTTACAAAGGGACAAATTGTTAAATTCTTACAAAGGATAAGGTCTCACTCCATACACAAAGTTTTGCTAACACTAAGGGAGATAAGTTGAATTATGCAAAAGCTCTCTCTTAATATTAAGAAAATGTATTGGCTACAACTCTAGTGAAAAGAACCTGTCACTCCTCGTCATGCTGCAGCAAGTTTTTCAAAGCATCAATAACAATTAGCTACACTCACTGAACTTAAAAACAACAGATTTGCTTTGTGAAAAGTGCTTAAGAAGTTTTTAGTAAAACATTAAAAATAGTGATGAAAAGCCATGTGTCTAATGTTATAACATTTACTGCCTATAAGACAATAGAAGGAAGACTAAATTTTTCTCTTATTGTTCTTTAAAAGTAAAGGACACCCGCAATGGCTGTGAAGGCTCATCCTCCTGTTGATAGTGAACATCAGTGCAAATAACCAGATGACCCTAAAGAAAGAAAAACATACAAAATTACCTAAATTCAGGTAGGTATATTCAGGTACAGTACCCTGGGACTTGTTTCCACGGTAAGACCCTCAGCAGGGCAGGAAGCAAGAGTGGCTTTGTGCCTCCTAAACTTTAGTTATCTTTAGGGTAGGAATGGGCTGTGATGTAGGTTAATACAACTCTCCAAAAGACTGAGCAACACTTACCACAGAGACATTCTGCCCATGAGCCTTCTTAGAGAATGGTCAGAGTAATGAGGCCTCAGACACTCAATGCTCCTAAGCCCTGCTGGGGATAGCAGTGCTGTTCTTGTCATGTTCCCATACTGGCACCCCAAACAGCTGGTGGACCCTTTACAACTTACAACTACTAGGGGTGGAGGGGCTCATTTTGCGTTCAGAGATTGCATGTTATATCTGATGTAGTGAAAGCTTTACTATTGACAACATTTAGATCTACCCACCACTGGAAAATGCACAAATTCACAGGCCTGAAACAGAAGCAATATTCTGTAAGAAGAAATTCAGCTTCTCAACTGATTAATTTTTATTACAGGTCCAGTCAGGCTAGTGTGGGCCAAATTAAGAAGAGGAAATCCTTTCCCTAGTTTATCTTCAAATAGGAAAAATATAAATACATTTGAAAGTAATAATAAAATGCACTTCAGAAGCATCTTTCTCAAGGAACTCAATTTGTTTGCAATTTCCCTTTAATTAGGTGTTGTGTCTCTCAAGGGAGCTATTATTCATATGTCCTAAAAAGCAAAAAAACGCTGTAAAAATGTTGCATATAAACCTCTTACAATCTCTCAGCTGTCTGACATTGCCTTTGTTCCTCTTCTGGTATCTCCCCCAAAATCTGTTTTCTGCTGTTTTCCATTCTGACTTACCCTCCATCTTTATTTTCTTCTCCACTTGATCCTCTCAGCCTGTGGGTTCCTCTTACTCTCATCTATCCCTATTTTCCTGGATCAAACCCCAGCTTTATTCTTACTTGCTTTTCTAAACATCTGACTTTTGATTCCCACCCTTTCATTCTCTTTCTTTTCTTCTCACTGATAGCTCACCTTTTTCCTCAGCAATCTTCTCACCTCTGATCACCTCAGAGGCACCTTCTGTACCCTCCCACCTGCTCCTTTCTGCCATCATCCCCTTGTTCCTTGTCCCTTACTCCCTGTATCCCACAGAACTGATTTTCTACTCTGTCCTGCCTGTGGCAGCAGGCGAAGCACAAAGGCAGAGGGAGGTGATAAAGTCAGAGATGTTACCCTGAAGCCCAAAGATGCAAGTGTGCTCTGCACTTCCTCAGTTTGGGCCATTGTCTGGTCATGGCTTGACTGTGTCAGGACAAGACTCAAGCCTGTCTCAGCTCTGCTGCCACACTGTATTCAGTGAAAATGGAACCCAAGACCAGTGTTTCGAAAGGGAGCAAACACTTGCTCTATGCCAGGCTCTGATCCATATGGCTGAACAACCAGGATCGAAGTCCAGCACAGAGTAAACCTGTCCAGCTGTCACCAAATAGAAAGAAAACCTCCCATAACTGCGTCTTTAAATCTGGGCACTCCCTTTTATGGCTTCAGTCTTGCTTTCTCTCCAGCTGTGCTTGGGAACTGGCTACAGTCCTTACCACTGATTACTGTAATCACTATTCTCTGTGAAGCATAAGACAGAAAATTCTCCACCAGCGACTTCTGCTGTGAGGGAAGAAGCGCATTTGGTGATGAGTGATTTGATTTGGCCTGATGCCTATGAGGTTGTAGCTTGATGAGGAAAATGGAGGGCTAGGACCAAAGTGACAAGCAAAATTATCAGAGCAGAGCTTGACAGAGAAAATCTCAGGAAAAAAAATATTTATTTTGGTTTAAGTTGCAACTAAACAATGCAAAATATACATGGCATATACAAGTTTTTTGAAATTAATTAAATGGAAGGGGTTTTTTTTCTGTATGTTAAGTATCTGGGATGAAATATGCTAAAGCTCATTTCAGCTGGCAGGACTCAGTTCTCAGAAGTGAACTGTTCTCTGGATAGAAGAACTGTCCTGTATCCTCTGCCACTGTGATCAGTGTCCTTTTACTTAAAGAGGTGGGTTGGACTGAGCTGCTACAGAGTCTCACTGAGCATTTCCATGTCTACAGTCTACAGTGAGTGATCTAAACAGTGGCAATTGTATTTGGTTGAAGTGATTTAAGATAATTCCTGAAATTGAGCTTAAGCCTGATTTTGTATTCACTCCAGCTACTACACATACTCAATCTAGCTGTGAATTCTGTCTGAACTCAGGCAGACTATGTAACATTTTGAGCGTCTGATGAGGAAAAAACCCCAACACTCTTAGAGGTATCTCCTCTTACTGAAAAGAAAAAGAAAAGCAGAGAATAAAGAGTTTCAAAACAGAAAAAGCAGTGGCAGATGATAGGCCGAAGACAGACCAATAATAGTTCACAATAAGTTCAGAAGAATTTCTTTTATCTCCAGAGGGCTCAGCTACCTTTCCTAGGCACTGAAACCATCAACTTACATCAGGGAAGCCAAGACTGGGGTGCAGCAGGGAGAACTGGAACCTGAAGTAAAAAATGTAAAAGAAGAGGATTCACTAGTAAGACTGAAGGCACAAGTTATGCACACTTGAAGATTCATTTGTGGAAATTCATACTGATTTCACGCTGATTCACATATTTAACTTTGTCAAAGGCTCTTCAATTCCCAACAGCTTTTAATTAAAACTGGCACAACTACAAATGAGATCTAGAATCACTGTCTCTTTCTGGTACTAACCTCCTCCTACAGTCATGTGTAGTCCAGTGCTGTGACTATAAAACTTGGGAAATCAGATTTTTCTGGAATTGTGATTTCCTGGAATGGCTGACCTACACCTTCACCAAATGTTCATTATGATTTGAATAAACTCCTATCCTATATATTTCTAATCATTGTGATTTGCTAACTTTTCCCGCTGATGCCTGTAATGAATCTTTGGTTCACTGTAAATATAATTCTGGGGAAAAACAGTTTTGAAGAACAGGAGAACACATTATTGTGTCAAAAGCTCTAAGTGAGCAGCACCATTACTTCTTAAACTTATACCACCAGGCTCTGATAATTCTAAGTAATTTTCTATTAAATTATAATTTAACTCTACCAGGTTTGATCATTTCCTGTTAAAAAGTCCAGTGACCAAAACTAAGAAAAGACTGCTCACATTTTTCTTTAATGAAATTATAATAGATTAAAAATTGTCATAAATTCTGGAAGTCCAACTCAGCTTGATGTGTAGAGCTGACATGAAGAAACACTGATGTGGGCTACCTGTCTGAAAGTCTTTGCTTCTACCCATCAGGTGCATTTATGGAGAAAGGGGCTGTAAACCCAGCCCACCTTGAAGTGTGAATAATATTTGTTGTAAAACAGCTGAGAACAAGCACAACTGCAGGTAACCACAAAACCAGCAAGATCTAAATGAAATCTAAAAAGCTCTGAGCTTTGATTCAAACTACAGGCACCTTTCTAGTCACGTTTGTTTGATGACATGGTGCTGCAGTGTGTGCTGTGTAGTCTCACTTTTTCCTGCCCCTCTCATGAAGGCGTATGGAGAACTATAGGGACAGTGGTCCTGTGCAGAGTTTGCACTCCAGCACTTCTGTGTATGATGCTCAGACTTTGCATGGCAGCAACATTCAGAGGGTTTTGAGTAAACTACTAAACTTGATTCTCCAACACCAACACAGACAGAAACAGATGCCTTCAACATAACCTTCAGGAATGAAACAGAAGCCTTCAAGATAATAAATAAATTGAATGCTCTCACCTGGAAAGATATTTAAGCTACAGAAAGGGGGAGCATCATGGAGCACAAGAGACATGGTTGTTCCACAATATTATTATATTTCATCTGCAAGATTTTGACCAACCAGTTGAAAGTATCTTGGAGCTCCTATGAGAAAGAAGGTAACTAATCTTTTTCTCATGGCGAAACAAGCACTGCTGGGCTGATACAATGAGTTCTGTTGTATCCTAATGCAGGGATAATTAATGCTTCTTTCTGAATTTTTCTTGGTTACCTCTTCAGAAGTAATGAGATAATCAACTTCTGTTTGCTTATAGTCAAATTGGCTCTGGTACTGGCTGTCTGCAAGGAAAAAGAGCAAAACAGTCTTCTGTGACTGTATGCACAGATAGATACTGTCTTAGATAAAGGCACAAATGCAATTGCTTTTGTGATTGGAAACACATTGTCTAAACTTTCCATGTGGTCAATACATATAGATTGTGAGATCGTTTGTGAATTTGCTGCTTTCTGCCAGCAACTGGGGTTGAGTGAACAAAGTGATAACACTGCCCTGATTGCCTCTTTATCATTAGGATCATTTAAGTCCTTGCATGGCTGACATAATTGGTTCACTTGCAATCTAATGGAAAGATGTCTGGGGACACGCTGAACTATTTTATAACACAGAGGTTAGGAACACTGAGCATCAGACAGTAACATTTTTATATATTACGATTTATTCTTGAGTAATTACTCAACCTCCCACATGTAAAAAAAGGGCTCCCTGCACCTGCCAATTAAATCTGTTAACTCCTACAATGTGTGGTGTGTGTTTCCTTCCTGTGAAATGCCACAAAACAGTGTGAATTTTTGTGGTAGACCAGTATATGCTATTTTATGCTAATCTCTAAGATTTTCAAAGGACCGGGAAGATTACTGTGTGCTTTGTTCAGCCCCAGCACTGAATGTTATCTTCTAGCTCCTTTTACTTACTAGATTCCCTGCAATGATGTACTGGGTGGCTGAATTTGGCAGAACAGCAAACACTTCTACACAGCTGGTGATCTGTAGGACACATCTGTCTGCATTTAAACTGACTTCAGGAGGTGATGTAGCCATCAGCCTTAGCAGCACTGGGTCCACTGCTGCGCAACTCTGAGCAATCTGTGCAGGTTCAAAGAGGAAAAAACTGCTGAGAGCAAAGCTTTTCTCAAGCAACAGTTCCTAAGCTGCATCATAATCAGGTGTTATGCACCAATCCTCTTGTAATGAACTGGTATTAAAAATACTTCATTTTCATTACACCAACTGAAGTGACAAAATTAGCGTTGCATATACTCTGAGTCTCAGAGATGATAAAGCAAATTATGAAGTTTTAAACTCACTGATATTGAACATATATAGAGAAACAATTTAAAGGCTATTCCTGAAAAATGTATTTCAAGAGAAAAAGAGAAAAAGATTGGTATGTCAAAGAAATTAAGGAAATGAGTGACTCCAGAAAAAAAAAATAAAATTATCACCTTCACAATATAAAAAATTTGGAAAAGTCAATAGCCTTCCAAAATAGCCAACCTTTTGAAAAGTAGGAAAACTCCTAGAGGACAAAGCTTCAGTTTGCAATGCAGATTCTGAATTTTATCATCTTATAGTAAATACTGCAATATTTTTAAAGCATTTCATAGTATCTTAATTTCTTGCATCACATTTATAGACTCATGACTATTATTTCTCATTCTCATAATCTCCAGGAGTCAGAAATCAGAAATCTTTGCAAAGAGAAGTCAGGGTACCAATAGCAGAGATACCATTACCTTGAAGAGGAATGAAAGGAGACTGATCTGACAGACGACTACCACTTATTCTTTATAACTGTTTCAAAGACTGAGAGTAAATCTAGCACTCAGAGGAGTAGAGAATGACTAAACTGTAGTATGATATAGTTAGGAAGAGTTATCATGTAAATTTGAATCTTGCACTAAAATAAACCAGTTTTCTTGTCTCCTCCAAGCTTTTGCAAATGAGCTAGCACACAGATTATATCCATAGAAAACATTAGATACTGCTTTTTCTTAAAAGGTCTGTAGAAATAAAAGTACTCACCTCAGAAACAAAACATCTGGATAGGGAAGTGTTTAGATGAAAAGTACTATTAAGCTGTAAACAAAATAAATCAGGTAAATTTATCAGTTTGAAAATTAGGTTTTCCTTTAGCAAAAAACCCCAACACATCCTGTTTACTGCAGTTTTAGATAATACATGTTTTGATTTAGTATTTTCTTGCCCCGGATTGATTTCTAAGGAACCCACAGTGCTCTCTGGGACATAAGAGAGATTTCTCACAGACTTGATTCAGGAGCATGTACCAGTAAACAAGCATTATTCTTTGAAAGGACAGACATGACTTCGGCCTTTGAGACTTTCTCGGATGAGATATGCTGAATATGTGAGTGGCAAGGACTCAGAAATGTCATTTGCCTTTTTGCTGCTAACCACTGTGATGATGTTTACTAGTACCATTTGTGTCACCAGTTTTCATAAAGACCCCGCTTAGCATTGTTACAATTAGCAAAACTTACTGAAAACTCTGACTACAAATGCCACTGTGGAAACTGCCATTTCTGAGAGGTCTTGTGTGTTCTTCATGGAACACATTCTTCAGTGGAAAGCTTAATTTGCTTGTACCTGGTTCTTGCCTCATTCTGCTGCTTTGTTAAGTTTGAGGATTTATCCTAGTTCTCAACATAGCCAATACATTTATCATGGGCCATTGTGCAGCAGATAAGGGCTTCAGTAGGCTTTTTCTTGTCTTACCCTTTTTGTATGTGGGATCCAGCTGAGAAAAGTTTTTTTATATTCCTTTTGCCACTCCTGGCACACCAACTCTGATGTTCATTCTGCAGTTCTTTGCCTAGAGCTGCTGAGAAGTTCAGACTGAAGTCTGAGAGGGACTTTGACTACTTTAAATTATGATAAACTGAACATCATGAGTCCTTCTTAAAAGTGCTACAAGTATGACCCAAATCTATGTGAAATGGCAAACACAATGTGTTAGTCTTCTTCACTGACTATCCATCTTGCTAATATTAGTAATTCTGTTACAGGCAAATCATACTCACCTCTTTGGAGATAGTGATGTTAAAGGCCCTGCTCTGTAGTGAGCCAGTGAAGCAGACTTAAGAAGATAATTGGAGACTCCCAGATATATCATGGAATCACCCTGGTTTGGGAGAGCAAATGGAGCTGGCACAAAGGGAGGGTCTATGTGATCTCCTACTGGATAAACTGTGTCCTGCAAAAAGCCACTATCAAATATTTCTACCTGATACATTTTTATCTGTCAAAATGCAATAGCAGTGGTTGAACAGAAAGAATTTTTCATAGTCTGAAGAAAAGCTTGACATTAAAGAAACCTTGAACTAAGCAAATAAATTTGTGTTATGCCCCGAAAATCAGCAAATTACGGCTCTTTTGAAAAAATACAGTAATCAAAGGAAATCTGCGTGCCATGCTTTCAAAGTTTGAATCTGAGCATTCAAGTGAGTATTCTGAACAGTAGCTACAAGACACACAGAAAAAAGAATTCCCTGGGCCACAGCTTTCTTTTTCTTGTAGCAAAGACACCTTTTTAAATTTAATGCTGAGGATGACATTTCAAGAAAATCTTCAGGCACTCTTGAAAAGCACTGGAAGTTGCTTAGGACAGAGACATAAAAGAGCCTTTTATATCACCTAATACTTAGCCTTGGCCCAGCTGCCAATCCTCCAAGACCTATTTTGGGTGCTGCACAGGTAGGAGACCTTGGTTCAGGTATGCTAAGAAAATAACTATTAAAATGTGAGAGGGTATGAGGCCATGGAATGAAAGAAGAATAATACAGACAGTAAATAGTTACTGACATTGTGAAGGTTAGTAGCTGGAAGATTCAACAGGAAAAACACTGGCATGGAAAAGTATAAATCCCTAAGAGAAAAGGCTGGATGTTGGAAGAAGAAAACTTATAACCATCAAGAATCAGTCTGTTCCAAGGAGCACTGAATAACTTCCTTGACTGACATAAAAAAGCCCTCCTGTGTCCCACTGGATGTCCATGTATTAAAGCTTAGCCTGTGAATCCAAGATAGTGACAGTAGCTGATAAGGAATTGCTTAATTCTTTTAAGCTGTGTATATCCTGCTTGCAAAGTTTTTTGTGTGTGATAAGAGTCGCTTGAACAAAATCAGCTCTGGCACATCTTTCTTAACTGAAGTCTGTTCTGAGAGCCATGGGGATGCTCTGAATTACAAGGACTGTTAAAACTGCTGGAAAAAAATGGGTGTTGCTGAGAAAACTCCTGCAACAAAAGTGAAAAGTAGATAACAAGCTGCTCAAGGACTGTCTGAGAGGAGCCTTCTTTTTGGGTGTGACCTGTACTTATACAAGATGCTGAATCATCTCAAAACAAACAGTCTTGGACTGCAAGCACCAAGCACATTGGGAACCATCTCAGATTATGTATCACTGCTAACAGGTGAAGACCAAGCAGTAGTGCAAGAGATGTGTATCTAAAGAACACTTTTAAGCTGTTAGTAAAGCACCTCTGAAGGATTTAAACTCTGAAATAATTTAATTATAAATAATAGATTTGGTTAATTAAAAAAACTGCTGGTTTCCAAAATAAATCTTGTCCAAAATTCCCAAAATGTCTTACTGGTTTTCTAAGTAAAAATTAGAGAGGCTGAGTAAGACTGTAGTGAAAGAAAATTCACCAACTCAAAAGATAATCAGAAAAGTCTTAGAAAGCACACTGATATTAAAGACAAATTACCTTCAAATCCAAGTTAATGTGTGATTTGAAGACTTCTGGAGGGCTAAGTAGGGAATAGTCTACTTGTGCAAAGGCATCAATCTGGCTTAAAACTAGAAGAATGATGGACAGAATCAAAACAGATGTTATTTACAAAATCACATAACAAACAGTTATTGCTTAGTTAAAGCAAAGAAATCTTAGATTTTTTTAGAAATGATGACTCTGAAGAAGAATGCTGGGAGACGGAAGAATAAAAAGACAGAAATTATTATAAGGGAAAGTGAGAGTATTCCCTTTGGAAAAGCCACTGATTCCTCCTGGTTTAGGCCTTGTTCTCCTGCTGGTCACAACTGAACACACTTTGCAGAAGTTTCTCCCATGCACTGAAAAATCTAGGGCAGAGTCACCATTTTTGCTGTGTTTGCACAAGAGAACTAAACTCTCCTAAATGATTAGAGAAATACTGCTAGATAGGACTAAATGTTTTGGAAGATGATTTTTCTGCCTATTGGTGTTGAAGAAAAGGGATGTTTTTTCACATAGAGAGTGCTTCATTATCAATATGATGGAAGACTTTTTCTGAAAGGCACTGGATGCAGCCTCAGTCTGATTGTTATTTTTGATCAGACTGTGCTGTCTGTTTATCCTGTATAAAAATCAGATGGGTTCAAAGAGAAATGGTGAATTCAAGCAGAGATTATGAACTTCTCAATACAAATATGAATATAAATGTGACAGCAAAGCTTGGAGTGCCCTTGAATCTGAAGTGTTTAATTATGTGCTACATAAGAAAATTATCTCGATGACCATGATTTTCAGTAATATTTGCCACTGTTTGGCACATGACAGATATAGGTCATTTTAGGAGAAAAAAACAATCTACTTACTCTGTTTATGAAAAACAGAGCAAATAACAGAAATATCCACAATGAAAAGTGAAGAACAGGAACAAACTCTATGACTTGAATTATATTATTTACAGGAATTGAATTAATTTGAGTTGAGAAAAAAACCCAAATATTCTCAATCTTGAGGGAAAAAAACCCTAACAGGAACAATAATAAAAAACTGTGGCATTGATTATAGTAATGAAAATCTTATATTTATATCCTTTTTGTACATAGATAACTATTGTGTTCATGTCTCTGCAAGAATGACACAGGAATTGTTACTCATGAAAAAGAAACGAGCTCTGTGTGACATGGTCTGCCTGAAGCATCTTGTTACCTCACTGAACACACATGTTCACATGTCCACACACCAAGAGCATAAAGGATCAGCAGGAAAATGCTCATCTCCAAAATCTAAAGAAATAACAGACTTTTTCACAGACTGAAAGATTGCAGGTGACTTGCTATGGGTAGAGAAGAAATCTGAATATTGTATATAAGATGCAAGAGTTTTCTAGGGTGTAGTATGGAATATGCTAAGGTACAGAACAATGGCTGTATTTTTCATCCTTCCCTTTTTTTTTGGTACCATGAATAGGGGAATAGCTTGGCATCTAATAAAAATGGCTACAATTTGAGCACTATGAAAATTACTTAATAAAAAACTGCTATCACCAACTCACCCTCATGCTTTCTAAGCAGTGCATCCATCAATTGGATTTTGTATTTGATATTTAGGCATAGCTATATGAAAAGAGAGACAAGTCAGAAATGTAAGGCCAGTGTTTTAACTCCTCCCTTCACTAACTGAAACCATCTTTGCAAACTTACATTTTTATCCAGCTGGAGGAAAGGAAATGGACACCGTGGCTTTCTTACCATGGATTGAAATCTTTGAAATATAAAATCTGGCATACTGGGACATCAGTGTCATTTATATTAACAAGAAGCAATTATAGCAATATGGTAGACTAAACAGTTGACTGGTTTTATTAATTTGAGAGTCTCAGATGAATCTAGGGGGTCTGAGTCTCAGAAGAACAATATAGAAGACAATCTGCAAAGTTGTGAATATTAGTTTATAAACAATGCTCAATTAGCCACATTTTGTCTAAGAGTAAGAAAAAAAAATTTAGAAAATCATAGTAAGAACTGTAAGCATTGTTTCATATTCTCTTTTAAAAGCTTTATTCATAAATTCAGCGTGTCAAAAAGCTTAATCAGTCTAGATCTCCTTGATACCTGCAATCTTCCATTTGCAACCTTGTACTCTGTAATATGGTCAAATGTCAATGCTTTCATGTGCAGTAGGTCTAGTCAGCTCATTTGCTAGCATATGTAGGAAGAAATGTAAATTAACTGCACTTCACACACACAGCAAAGGAGTCAGGTTTTGAACAGATCATTAAAAATCTCTTTTCAGAACCTTAAGTAGTTAATCATATCCTGTAGCTAGATCCATAGAAATCAAAATTTGAAAAGTGTCCCTTTACGGTACAAGCTGTGCTCTTTCCCACAGAGTAATTAGAAAGTTTGCTGCACATATCAACTTGACTTTTACACTATCAATGCTCAGCTGGCAACTGTATAGCAACATGGACTAGTGGCCTGTGCTATCCTCTGACACTTCCAAGAAAACTGCCATAAACAGTCCTGAGATGGACACAGCAATTTCTGCTCTGTCTTTGCTGCTTGGGGAAAAAAAAAAGTCAAACTCAGTCAAGAAAACATCTGCTGTAAGGGAACAATTTAAGAAATGGCCTATAAATCAAGTTTGAAATTACTTCTTGCTTCTATTATCTAAAATGAAGAATGGGTTTTCTAGGGATTAAAGTATTTTAGGGACATGCCTGGTATTCAAAAGTAGATTATATGCAAGCATTTCCAGGACATGAATTTTCAGTGTGATGCAGGATTTGACAGGTTTACAAAAATATCACAAATTCACAGAAACACAGGACATTCCTGTTTTTCATGACAGATCAGCGTGAAGGTCTCTGGGATTGCAACAGCAGAAGCCAGTTAGCTCATATATATATATATATATATATAATATATATAACCCAAGTCTTATTAACAGTGTAATTATTCCACTTTGCTCTTTCCTGTAAGGAGGTTTTCAATAACTCCTTTAGATCTTTACATGACTCCATTATTTTTGTCCAGCCCCAAACCCACTCATTCTCCTTTCTGTAAAAATTCCTACTAAGATATCAACCAAAACCTCTTTAAACCTAAATTCCAGCAAACTTAGGTATTAGGACTATGATTAAAGTTGCAAAAGCTGTAGGCCAACCCAGCAGGATAGAGAGTTAAATGGTTGTTGGAATAGCCTTATAAAAGCCTCATTTACCATAATATAACTAACCCTGAAAGCATTACTTTTCACCCCTTTCACTTTAGAGAAAGAGCCCAGTCCAAGAGGAATTCAAACCATGAGTCTCTCCACTTCCCTCTTAATCTTTTTTTAGGCAAAGCAAAATTCCTGGAAAAAGAAGCTGTAATCCTGAAAAAATTAATTTTTGCCCTAGACTTCCCCTGACCAAATCAGTGTCTAGTATTGCCAGTGACAAAGGCCATCCTATCACCATTACCATTTTCAACCTCCCTTTTTCAGCTCATATACCTTTTTCCTCACAATAGTGATACAACAGAAGAAAAGACAGAGAGGCTGGGGGCACATTGATAGCAGTTTCCAGCCACCAGTCTCACTGAGACAGAATGCAGAACTGCATGTCCATGCTCCTTCGAAATCAGGATGTGCTGTGCTGGGCAATTTTGCAGCCTGGTGATCCATCTTGTAGTGCTATCTGGCTTACAATAGAGCAATGTCTACTGCTGTTACCAGCTGCTCCATTAACCCAAATTGTAGAGATTAGCACCTTGCAAACTTTTCTGATATCCCAGAAGTTGTAGCCCTCCCCACTCCCAAGAAAAGCTATACTATTTAATACCATGGTATTAAAATTCTATTACAAAAATGCTGAGATAAGTGGAAAAATCCATATATAATCACGTCATTATAGACAATCTTGCACTGCACAGGCTTATGAAGCTAGGTCAGCTATTTGTTCCAAAAGACTGTTTGAATTTCACTCAAAAAAATGTTTCAACTAGAAATATTTGATGATGACTTTTTGACTTTTTGCAGGGCACAGTCTTTCCAGTAGGAAATCACCCAGACCCTCCCTTTGTGCCAGCTCTATTTCCATATCAACACAAATTCTGGAGTTTCTGAAGTTCTGAATATTTGGTATTGTGACAGTGCCCTTCCTTTAGTAGGAGCTCTTTGGAAGGCAATATACACTGTACCAGCACATAGATAATTAGCTATAGAGTCGACCTTCCATCTATACTATACGAAGAAAGTAACAAACGTGGTCACTGTAAACAATGTGGTCCTGAATATTCATGCAATGTCTGCACAAACTGAGCATGATAACAGATATCTGAACTGAGACTTCCCAAAGAGACCAGTGGGGTAAAATAATTTTAAAAACCCCATGAAACATTAGTTCTCAGGGGATGTTCCCTTCTTAAGAAGTTTTTTCCAATAGATTATTGTTGGATTGTAGTTAAATGATAAAGCATATCCGACCTGAAAAATAATTTCCCAATATATTTCTTAATTTCATTTGCAATCCTTCTCCCAGAGCCCTCCTACCTGTACAATACCTACCTGTGCATTCTGTACAATACTTACAGTAGCCCTGTGTGTATTCTCCAGTCTGCACTGATTGTAGCAGAAGCCTGTGCCACTGACAGATAAATGCTAGTGCGAGGAATAAAGGAAGCAGAAGTTTCTGGGAAATCTACAGCAGTAATTCCGAGCCTACAGAATACGGAAAGGGGGATTATTAGACTGCATGTCAAAAGACTAAGAAGGACCTCTGATCACTGAAAACCCTTCTGCTAAAAAAGACAAAGTTTATGCTTCAGTAAGAACTTCTTAGAAATCACTGACCCATGTATGTTTTAGGAAAGAAAGACACTTGTACCTTTACTCCTTGCAGCATCCTTGGAAAAAGAATCCTTGATATTTGGCCAGGGTTTTTTTGGGTGGGCTTTTTTCTTTTTCTTTTTTTCTTTTTTTCTTTCTTTTTCTTTTTCTTTTTCTTTTTCTTTTTCTTTTTCTTTTTCTTTTTCTTTTTCTTTTTCTTTTTCTTTTTCTTACAAAAACCTTTCCCTAGGTGAAGAATGAACTCTTTAAAGAGAAATCTTCTTGCCAGGGAAAGAATAAATCCATGTTCAGTCTCAGATGCAATATCTATAAATAAATCCAGGTTGTCCCAATGCTAGCATTTGCTGAAGACCATCAAAATTTTTGTATTCCCATTCTGCTTCCTTGCCTAAGCAAAGGGCCCTGGAGAAGATCAATTTTTCTAAATTAAACCTTACTTGAATATTTCCCTGCCAAAACAAATATTTCTGATATTCAAGGATATTGTCTTGCAAATGGGTGTGTTGAATGGAGCTGAACATTGTAAAGATACCACATGTCATCTTATCATGTAGTATACATTCCTCATTGTTCCTTGCTATCTTGCAGAGATCTCTGAAACAACTGCCTTTAATCTGCTTTCCCTGGGGCAGAAGGCACCAGCTACTTCGGTTAAAATCACCATAACTTTCCAACAACATCTCAGGCAGTAAGACTGCCTTTAGGTATCTTGTTTGCTGTGAGTTAAATCAGATTATACACCAGGAAGATTGCCAATTTCAAGAACTATGGTTGGGGGAATGAACTGGGGTTTTGAAAATCATGTAATAATTTAGATTGAAATCGGACCTCAGGAGATTTTTCTGGTTCAACCTCCTACTCAAAGATGAAACAACTCAGAGACTCTGCCCACTTGATTCTTGAACTCACCCAAGAATGCAGACTCCCCAACATTTTCAGCCCTTGTTCTGGTGTTCCCTAGAAGTTTTTCCTAACTGCAGTACTTTTCTTGATGTGACTTATGTCTTTTGCTCATAATTGTTTCAGTGTGTAGCCTTGGAAGAATCTGGCTCCGTGTTCTCTTGGTTTTTTGTTTATAGCCTATTGGAAGGTGGGATTGAAGGCTGTAGAAAGACCTGCTTTTATATTAGTCTCTGTATTTGGAGAACATGTAGCAAACTCTGTAAAACTGTTTTTCTACTGTCTGTTCCTGGTACAAGGATTTTCCTCTCCAATAAACACTTGTTGAGCTCTATCCAGTTAAAATGGTAATTTATCATGTAAATTCATCCAAAAATATTCTGTAAAAAACATCTTCCTGCCACATCAGCCAAGACACATCATCCCCTGCATACATTTTCATCTTATCCCTTTTTTAGCTTTTTTCATCAAAGACAAACAGATTATTTTCATTGCTATAGGTCTTTCATAGTAGCAGATTGCTAATAACACCAATTCTGCCCTCTTTCCCACTCATTTCCCCTGCTGTATCATAGCCATGCTCACACCTGTTTTGCCCCAAACTCTGCTACAAATAATCTGAAAAAAAACCCAAAGTGCTCCTTTCAGAAGCTTTATAAAGCTTATCTCTGAGTGTAGCAGAAAAAGTACTTCTAAAACCAATCAGAAGCAGAGTTAGATGAACCACTAAAATTTTACTCTGAACAAAACAGTGGCTGCATAATTATTGCAATGTGGTAATAAAAAGCTGTTTCATCCTAAAACTTTGGAATTTATTTCCTTTACTTACCTTGAAATGACATAGTTGACCTTAACAACTGAGAAATTCTCCTGCCTACTCCTGCTTGGGAAAGTCTCTTTCAATACTGATAGTTTCAGGAGCTCCATCCCAATCCTCCTCCCTACAAGGGGACATAGGAAAGCACATGCCTTGCAGATTGGATTCAGGCACCTGAAGGCCCAGATATACTGCTGAATAATTTAATCCTAATTTTTAACATAGTTCTTGCAACACTCTGATTCTATGATCCTTACCTAGATCTCTTTCCAACTACAAATATTTCCATCTATAACTTCACTTAGCCTCATGTATAAACCATTTAATCTAAAATCAATATAATCTGTTATGATAATTTTGTCCCCGAGTTGTATTTCATATTCCAGAGCTCAAGTCAAGTTTCTGAAACTTTTATACTCCCTTCACATAATGCGGTTGACCTTAGGAAAAACTTGATCATCACCTTTACCTCAGATTACCTCGTATCAGTTGGATGATAAAGTGAGTCATGAAGTAGCAAGGCAACTCCTCAATGTAGTGGTTACTTAGGCAAAAAGTGTGATATATATATTTGATGTGCTGGTATGTCAAATGCAGAACTATCTGAATTGTTGCTTGTGTACAGGAAGTTGTTTGAGTTTTAAAGACAATCCTCTAAAATGATTTCTTCCCATTTCTTTCACAGTACATATGTTTTGCGACTGCACCTTAACCTTTACAGCCTACTGCAGATGTCTGACTGATTTCCTTACCTTCTTTCCTTGCTTTAAGGAATCTCTACTTTCTTGAATGTTTCAATGCTATTTGTGCACTGATAATATATACAGACCCTATTATCAACAAACAAAGCATCTTTTAATTCCAAATTCCTTGCACCTTTCTTCTTTTTGCTCACTTTTGATTAAGACATATCTAAAACTTTAATACTGAATGCTGTCCTGCTTTCAGATGTTTGTACCACAAGTGTCATTAGCTTTTGACCTCACAATTACTGAATACAAAACACCTGTGTTTTTTTCATCGTGAGGCTCCATAGTATTAGAAATGCAAAACACTGAAATTTGTGATAACTCAATGCTGGAATACCTTTTTATAAAATGCATCTTTTATGAAGGAGAAGTAAGTTATGATTCCCTGGGAATTTCTGTCTCCAAAGCAAAATATGGGCTCTCACTGAAATAACTTAAAGCTCTCTTAAGACTGTCAGTGAAGGCAGCCAGTGATCTCAGGTGGAATTTCTCTCAAGGTTCTTGTAGCACGCAAGAAGCATGAAGGCAAGATCTATTGCCTCAGCCTTCAAATCTCACAATAAGGGAAAGGATGTCAGGCATCAAGCTCTTCAAATACAAGAAATGCCTTTGGGAGGAGCACTGTTAATCTGCTTTTATGCAGGGGTGTGCCAACTTGGTCTGTTCAGTCAGCACTTGCAAGGCCATGCTGACTGTCACAAGAACTCCTGAGCTTACACTAAGAAACACCAGGCTGAATTCTCATTTCTAAAGGCATCAGAGATCCCTAGGAAGGAAGGGAGATCCAAACTATTTTGGGTGATTGATGTTTTCCCTGCACTTTTCAACTCCTCAGAAGCCTTTAAAACAATGCTCATACAACAAAATAAGCGGACCTGATCCTTGCTTTCATCTCAGTGGCATAAACCCTTTTATTTTTCACCTCAGAAGTCCATTGTTTACCTGTCAGCATGTTCAGCACATAAATGACAATTAACCCTTAACATGACCCAGGCTTTGTTGAATTTGTGCCTTATTAACCTTTATTACTAATATTAATTCTGTAAACAACTGAAATTCTACTACATGCCCTCCACACTCATGGAGTAAGAGGCAGTGAAAGTTAGCGTGAATAGAAAGAGTACAGAAAACATATTGTAAGCTTTTTTTTCCCAATTGTGTTTGATTATCTTCAGCTAAATATTGCACTTTATGTCAGGTTTTTGACACTTCAGAAAAAGCAGCAATTGTATGCCCATCTAATCCTGGTTCAAAGAAAGTATGGTAGTATAGGTATGAAGAATGTAGTAGAAACTACTGGACTGTAGGAGAATGCAGTCATTGATAAAGGATAAATTCACACCTGGGATGCACACAAAAGGAAGGAAATAAATTAGGGAAGAGACAAAGAGTGTTTCTGGTGTGAGGTGACAAAAATAATACATTCTATTTCAGTATTCAAGAAGCTTGTTCCTTTGTTGCACCTCTATTAAGAAACAATATTCTGTACATAGATTATTTATGATAAATTAACTACTGGCAATGTTAGACATACCACAGTTCAGCTCCTTCTGAGTAATCCTCACTTTAAGACCAGAATTAGCCTCAAGCCTCAAGGACAGCCAACACAGCTGGAAAAAATACCATGTCTTTAGCATCATCTCACCTTTGTCACAGATCTGTTAACAACATATATGATACAAATGCTTTCATAAATTATTCATACCATGAGTTGCAAAAAAATCTGTATCCATGACTTCCGTCAATGAAATTTGGTCACGGATGGATAGCCAAGAGAACTTTAGTTAATGATTTTATTGCACCAAGCCATCATTGTGGGAGCCAGCACAGATTTCTGATTCCTTGGATATCACTTTGGCAGGCACTAGCTATTGGTGAGACTGCATGGTTCTGCTCCAGTACTCTATCCTTTCCCCATACCCATGTCTTGGCTATTTTATTTTACCATCTGTCCTACCAACTGCAGAGTGAGCATGACAAAGAGATCCCAGTCAAGCAGGAGCAGGCCTGTCTTCCTCTATAACACCACTTTCTTTTTATACACCCTAGGATACACTGGATTTGAGAGTTCCAAAGTTTTCCAATGAATCTGCAGGTCAATTACCAGTTACCTAAAATAAGGTAGGCCAGACACTGGCCTACATGAGATTGACTAAATGAGATGATGTGAGAAGGGAATGCAAGGGTAAATTCAAAGCATGTGTGAGAATTACATGGTGATCACAAAGGAGTAGAGAAGGATTTTCTGGCATGAGAATGCAGTGGTGTGCTTGAGTGCAAAGCCGGCTCTGAGCCACTGCATGGTGGCACATAACCACCCAACAGATTCACAAAAGCTGAGACAAATTGCTTCTTTCTGTGACATATCTCTACTACTTAAGTACAGCTTCTTCAAAACTCTTGTATTGATCCTGATTTTCACTACCAATGACAGCTACTGCTCAGTTTATTAGAAATAACAATACTGTTTCTCAAGACAACTTCAAGTCTTCCCAGTGCTCCATTAGAAAGTTTTTCATTAGGGACCTAAAATAATTTTATGCTGGGCTTACCACAGAGGGGAGTGCTACATCCTTTTCTAAGACATATGATTGTGATCATGATACCTGCCTATGTATAAAATCATGCTAATTAATCAGTAGCAACAGGTGTTGCTAGTTTCCCAGTAATTTGGAGTCCGTAGTCATTCCTGGATTTCTAACAAGCTCATACTGTCTTGGACAATTTATTCCATTATCTGCTAAAAATCATATAAATGTGCTTAAAACCAGCACAAACCCCTCCACCAAAAAACCCCACACCCCAACACCCCTTGTTAGTCTTCTGTATTGAACTTAGTATTACCAGGTCAGACTCCAAATGGTTGCAAATCTATGTTCTACCCAGCACCTCATAAAAAACTGGTCATTGGTAGATTTCCCACTCTAAGACAGACAAAATGCATTATCAATATTGCCCTGATATTGGTTCTTTGAAGAATCCTTACAAAGTTATCCCAGGACACTATCCAAGAAAACGTAGTCTCAGGGAAAAAACATTTTGAAAACATAATCCACATTGTGACAAATTTCAAAAATGTACCCTTTAATTGGCAAACCTCCAGTTCTTACACATTTTTGGTTTTCTCTCTTTTAAGCAACTCAAAATAAATCCTTTATGGTAGCAATACTGTATTATTCACAAAAGCCTGCTGAATCACATACCCTAAACATTTTCCAGAAATAATGTCCTAACTTTTCCTGCAAACATGCCGCTTTCAATCCTGATTAATAAGGGTCAATTAAAAATCAGTGTAAAACCAAAAAGACAGATTTTTTTTTTTTTTGTTATTAAAGGTCACAGATATTTACTAGATGTTGTCTAGCAGGATTGCTAGAAACATTGATGCAGATGAGATACCCTATTCCCATAGCATTTCATTCACACTGAGGAACAGAAAACAGCAATCTTGGTCATTAATGTGCTTTGGAGTAGATTAATTTTTGTTTGGATCTTAAATGTATGTTGGGTAAGAAGCTGAAAGAATAAACTGAATTGCCATGGGAATAAAAGATTGCATCACTTTATACTGGTTCCTCACACCAGTAAGCTTTACTTCTGCACTCCAAAGCTGATACTCTTGGCTTTCATTCCTGAGCCCCTCTCAGACACTAGGATTGATGTACAAGGTCACTCAGATAGAGTGTCTGAGTCAGACAGAGCTAAGCAGAAGGAACTTGTCAGCTGCCTGATAGTCTAAATGAGAGCTGCCAATTGCACTGCTGAGGACAATAGATGTCAGACAAATTGCTCTGATTTTTATCCTCAGTAACTGAGCAGGCAAGGACCGATTTCTGTATGTAAATAATTATCTTAATTCTTTTGTCTTCACAAAGATTAAAGTAGTTCAAGTACTTGAAGTGGAGAAAAAGATTAAAAACTCCTTTGTTTCAGTTTGTGTGCTTGTCTCATCCTAATGAAGTACTGTAGTTACCAGACTGTAGATACCATGCCTGGTTTCTCCTTTGTGAACAGTCTGCAGAAACTTTAAATAAAGATCACAATAAAGATTAGAGCTGAAATTTGCCTAAAACTCAGCAAGCTTCTGATGTAGAAAAAAAAAAAAGTAACCATACTTGTCTTGTACAGGTTTAATACAGCCATAAAAACACACTATGTTAAACTGACCATCCTCAGAAAAGAGAATATCTGAAAAATAATTTTGTAATTGTCTCGCCTTGGTCCTGTACAAGATTTTTCAGTCTACAACCCACAGAATAATTTCTTTCACTTTCAAACGTTTAGAAACCTCACTAGTTAACAAACACAGGACAAACAGTTCTCAAACACGATAGCAAACACAGAGTCTACCCAACCTGAAGTCCAGAAAGAGCACTTCAGTTTCCCAAATATCTCTGCTGTTATCACAGAACTGGGACTGGACTTTTCAGTTTCTTCATTGCTCCATGTTTCTAGTTACTCTGCAGTATACTCAAGAACCAGTAGGGTTTCGGCAGCTCACTCAACAATGTAAAATCAAAAAGGACTCAATGGCTTCAGGGTTCCTACACACTGATACTCCGTATGGAAAATCACATCTTAAGGGAAAAGGAGTATAAAGTTTATATGATTGACAGAAGAGATATATTGAGAGGAATGCTTAAACAAAACAGCAAATGACACAGACAGGAATTTCCTAAATGACTTAAAAGCAGATGATGCCTCTTCACAACTAGTGTAAATACCCACCAAATGAGAAAAGCTCCAGTAAGTTCCTATTCATGGTTTCCGGCATTCTGAGTAGAAAGCAAAGTGATGCTATCCACTTCCCAGCTCATGAGGCAGCCATCAATCCTGCTCAGTGAAATCTTCAAACAAAATCCACAGGAGGAAACGGCTGTCCCTACCCCACAGGTTGTATCTGTGAGTATGTCTGGGACACTCCTCGATTTTTCAGCAGCTTTGCAAAAGCTTTGTGTTACCACAGCTTTTCCTAAGTTTGGCTTTACTACTGATGCCCTTCATAATCTTTCAAGGCCTTAGAGAAGGGTTGCCAGAGAACTATTAATCTATGCCAGGCTGCAAAATAAATAGCATAGCTGCAATGCCTACACAAAATCTGCTAACAATGGATAACTATGTTGGGAGGCAGTTGTCTGATGATCTGATGGAAAAAAACATTGTCCCTGTTTGGACCCATTGCATCAACGTTGCTGAGCTCTGTAACTGCCCTATCCTAGCACCTGAGCCAGGACTATGAGGCTCATTTTTACCAAAGTCCATTTAGCAAAACAAAATCAGTGTCCTTGTGCTGGCTCTGCCCTGCATGCTGCCCTCACAGCTAAGAATTCAGGGTGGTTTCCAAGACACAGGCAGAGTAAGAAACACTGAAACACTGAACAGGAATGCAGCAGGCATTGTTTGTCTGGAAGCTGCCCAGATTCGGACTCGAGTCCACCGTTTGCATAGATACTTTCTAAGCTTTCTTCTCTGCTTTTCTCCCCATTGTTTGGCTCACTCACCAGTCTCTTGTACAACCATTCCCTTTCTTTCAGGGAAGTAGCATGAAGCACTCTCAGCCTAGGCAGCCACTTCCCTGGGTTCACACAAATTGCAGTCCTGTCAGATTCCTAAGAAGTAGATGCAGTGATCTCCCTAAGCAAAAAATGAGCCTCTTTTTACTACCCAGAGAAATGTGACTTTAGTCTGCTAATGAAAAGATACCAAACCCTTGACTTTAGTGTGCCATTTCAAATATTTTTTCTCAGCACACAACTCCCAGCAATTTGATATTGTTAAAAATACGCAAATCCAAGAAAAAACACTAAAAGTGTCTGAAGCAATCTGGCAAACTCCAGGAAAATTGCTGTAAGATCTTTTGCTCCATACAATCAAGATTTTAATCAGAAACAGAGAAGTTAAGAGCAACATGAGCAAACTCAGACACTGTTTAAGGGTCATCTGTACGACAGCCAACCTGAGATGATGTCACAGAGAGTTCCACTCACTGTATAGAGCATTAGCATAGAGGGCTCCAAGATACCTTCTAGCAGTAAAGCTGACCACCAGCAAGCTGCAAGAATTTAGGAGGTTCTCTCCACTGGCTTTCATTTGAATCTCTTCCTCCAGTGGCACTTCAGACTGGCACTTCATCTCCTGATGATACTTCAGCCTTCACACTCATCTCCTTCTCATCCCACACTTCATTGCCTCTTTCAGTGTGACTCTTGTCATTCAAAATATGAGCATCACAAGTCAATATATACACACATATATTTATCTGTACATATTACAAAATACATTATTTGTAGTGGCAAATACATGAAGAGAAATATCAGAAAAGGTTCACTGGCTCACAGCTTTATTACCACACTCATCTTTCAAGAAAAAAAATATTTCCATGAGATATGTAACTGAACCAAAGAGACCTTTACATTTTATAGTTCTCCTGTGCCATAGGACTTGATCGACAGGACTACAGCTTTAAATTTCAAATTACTCAAGAGCACCCACTAGGGCTATCAGTAGGGTTTTACAGCTTTGGTGAAACAGGTTCTATTGCTTGTGTTTCACACTGACCATGAGGGAAAGAAACAACCTCAATAAAGTACTTTAAGTAGAGAAACTACATTGTCTTCAACAACCATTCCAAGCTACTGACAAAGAGCTGTCTTTTGTCACCATACTGCATATTGTCTTAACAAATGAGACTTAAAAATAATTCATTCTTTCTGATAAGAGTGAACTATGCTGAAAGTCAAAATTCCTCTATACACAACCATTTTTTCAAGCCTCTAGGCACACAGGTTTTCTGTACTATTTTGACAAGTGCCCTTCCCAGCCAGAGGTCAGCTTCATATATGGCCATTGAAAGTGTCCTGCCTGCAAAATGAAAATCTGAAGACAAAATTAAAATGGTGGAGAAAACCTGTAACTCATCAAATAACAGCCTTTTTTTCTAGAATGATGCATGAAGGAAAAAATAATAGTGGTGTTGAGTCATTTGAAAGTTGCCAGACTTGAAAGCTGAGGAAAATGTTTTAGTCTTTCATCCTAATTGTTTCCTAGGAGGTTTTCCTGCTACATGGAAAATGTGTCTAAACCTTACATTGAGTGGAAAACATGTCTAAACCTTATATTATAGCATTACTCATAAAGTTCAAAGGAAAAATTCACAGAATGGCAGCAAAAACGCTCACTTGTAACCGGTGTAGCTGGTTACCTAAGAATGACTATAGTCAGCTCCCAAGAAACTGAACCACTTTGTGTCACACAATCGCTTCAGCTTGTGCAAGCTACAAAACAGGTGGTTCTGCTGTTAGCACCACGTCTGCAGCTGTGGACATTCCTCATACTAGGGAGGCCTCCTCCACCCTTCCAAAAGAGCACAGACTAAGATGCCATAGAGCCAGTGGGATAACAGGAAGTGGCTGAGGCAGGGATAACTCTGAGGAATGAAACAGTAGGACATCCATGGCCAAAGGAAAATGGTAACGATGTTGAGGCAGCAGCATGACACACTTTGGATTCAACCCTCTTCGAAAGAGAGCAAGGAATTTCTGAGAGGCACAGTGCTCCTCATGTGTTCTCCTTTCTACTTCTCTGCCAGTTCCACTCTCATCCCCCTCTGCCACGGCAACCCACTCTTCTGGGTTTATCCAAGATGTGTCCCCAATTGATGATGACTGCATAAGCACTCCTTCAAAAAGGGTGCAGCTTCTCAGGAAATCACTTGTTCTAGTGTTTGTCATGGAAGAGCTGGTAAGTTACACCAAGCTGACTGTAATGAGCATCAGCTGTTCCCTTGTCCAGCGAGCGGTGTTCCAGCTCAGCAGGCTCCTTCCTTTCACCACGTTCAGTACAAGCCTCTCCTTTCCACTGAGGAATTTACTGACATGTTGAAACCAGAGGATGGCTGCCCTTCAGCTTGAGACATCTCTGACTGCAAGCTCTAAAAAGAATGGGATTGTTTGGATGGCCATGTTCAGATGCATTAAGATTTCACCTGCAGTACAGAATAAAGAGTTTTTTGAAGTTTCAAGTCACCTTTTTCCTGTTTCCTTTTTCCAGGACCTTTTAGGTGCTGAAAGAAGACAGCAGGGCTGGACCTACAGCATTAAGCAATGTGAATAGGGCCCTAATTAGCAGTGGTACTTGGTGGTAGCTGTGTAAGCCAGGTCTTGCGATTTCACTTATTATTTTAGTATTATATCCCTACAAAGTATCCCAGTTTACTTGGGTTATTCTTTGTATGGAGAAATGTGATGCAAGCCAAGTTTATTGTTAGAAAGAAAACCAAGATGATCTGAGAACACGCATTGTTCTATGTAACCTCTGAATTCACTGCAAAATTCTATGGAATTCATTAAACAAAGTGAAAACTTGATTTTTTTTTTCCTTTCACATTATTCCCCCAGTCAACATTATACTCCTGCCAAGTGTGCATTTCCAGATAAAAGACATGGGGAATGGCTTTTTTTGCCAAGTATGACAGGTGAAGGGGAACTAAAGCCATTAAACTTCAGTTTCTACCGCTTCATACTTTTGTCAAGATTATTTGCTAACAGGTGTTATAGCACTACCTCTGAGGTGACAACTCAGCAGTCTGGTTTAGAAAAATCAAGTTCCCTCACAAAACTAAAACCTCTCGGGGCCAGCATCCTCCTTCAGCCTTTTCCCTTTGTGCATTTCCACCCTCACGAACAGTTTAACACCCAGCCAAGCTCTCCCTAGCAGTTTTGGCTGCAGAACATCACTTGGCCCGGAGTTACACTGAGGAGGAGGAGGCCAGCGGCCCAACCACCCTCGCCACGCGGCGTCAGGCAGCCCGGGCGCAGGAATCACTGCTGCCAGTGGCGTATCCATCGCAGGGTAAGAGGCTGAGGAGGAACGGAGCAGTTGCGAGGCGCGAGGGTTACTGCCGTAGCAATGGCGGCTCCCGCACCGCCTGTGGGGGCGCGCGCAGGGACGGCTCCTCCCCGCGCGCAGCCGAGCGCCCAATCATCGATCGTGGCCGGGCCACCGCGCGGCTCGCAGAGACAGCGATCGGGGGCGTGCCGCGAGCCCCGGAGGCGGGGCCAGGGCCGGGCTGAGGCGGTGCCGCGACAACCAAAACAACGGCCCGGCCCGGCAGCCCTTGCGCCCGCGGCCCGCCGCCACCTTCCCCGCCGCCGCTGCTCGGCGGGGTCCGCTCGGGGCGCGAGGTGGGCGCGGAGACCCCTCCGCTCCCGCTGCCTCCGCCATGAAGCTCCGCGTACGGCTGCAGAAGCGAACGGCGGCCCTGGAGGTGCAGGGGGCGGAGCCAACGCTGGGGGAGCTGCGCGCGCAGCTCCGCTTGGCCCTGCTGCCCGCCTGGGGGTACAGGTAGCGAGCGGAGCGAACCATCGCGAGGGGTGCCGGGGTGGGGGGGAGGCGATGCCGACGCCGCCGGTGCGCGGCCCGGGCCGGCCAGGCCGTACCATGCGGTGCGGGGGGAGGGAGCAGGCCCGGGGCTGTGGTGCTGCCCCCTGCGGGGCGGGCACGGAGCTGCCGGCGGCACCGCCCGGGCCCGGAGCGCCTCGCGGGGATTGACAGCGCTCGGCCCGGCCGCTTTAGCGGCCCGCGGGACCGGCCGCCCTGCTCCTGCAGGGCCTGGGCTCGGGCTGCGCCCGGCTGGGCACTGCGGAGCGGGAAAGCACAACTCCGAGAAATGCGGGTTGCAGCACCGTCAGAGCTGATTGAGACTTCTGCGCGGCGCTTAAGTTACAAAATGCTGTAGCGTCTCAGTTTTAGGCTTCTCTGAGGCTTCCTGGAGAATCTCGGTTTAAGTTTCATAAACAATTTAACTGAAGAACTCCAGGCATCCTCCGCAGGAAAATGAATCGCCTGTAAAAGGCGAGCGTTTTCTGATGTTGGCTGAAGGGTTTGTGTCACAAACCTTTAATTAGGTCCGACGTGCTGGTGTTTCACTGGTGATTCACACAGTAGTGTGGGCAGGAGGAATCTGAAGTTACTGCTTGTCTTGCCGCAGTGGGTGTATTTTTTAGCTGCTTCCCTACTAACCAGTTTCATTTCTGGGTTTTTTTTTTGGCCTGAAGCATCTTACCTTATTACCCTCATTTGCAACTAGCATTCTACAGGACACCTGCTGATCGTTGAAATTGTTTAGCATGAGGAGACAGCAAGTTGGTTGAGTCTTCAATACTATTTATTTTTAAATAATCTGAGGCAGTAGTTTATGTATATCTTGTTTTCCTAGCTGTGATACCTTCTATTTTGAAGGGCATTTGTTGCTTTCCTTCGTAACTGTTTTGTGAGCAATTTCTGTAAACGAAGTTTTATTTACCAAGCAGCTACAGCAACTTAAAATGTACTTGGTGATAAACATGGGGGAAATAATTTCATATAATCTTTTTTCCCCTCACTATTTCTTTAACATATAGGTAATTAATAATGGATTAAGCCCCATGGCACAATACTGTTGTAATATGCATTACGCATTTCTAGTTGTAGAATCATAGAATCATTGAGGTTGGACAAGATCATCAAGTTCAGTCTTGGACCAATCACCACCAGGTCAACTACACTGTAGCACCAATTGCCAAGTCGAGTGTGTGGCTATCCAAGTGCAGCCACCCATGTTTCCTTACTGTTTTTTTAAAAACTGTTTTGCAGTTCTGATACCACGTTTTCAATAACACTGAACAGAAAAGATGCTCTGACAGAGGATCAGAAGACCTTAGCTTCATATGGCATTGTTTCTGGAGATTTGATATGCTTGTTACTAGAAGAGCCAGATGGACAACCCAGCCTACCTCCTCCTCCTCCTCCTCCTTCTGCTCCACCCTCGCTTCAGAATGGTCATGAGCCGTCCACCTTGACCCCCAACACAAGTCAGGCCAACAGTCCAAAAGAAAAAGGGCAGAATGAGCAATCTAACAATGAGAGGGCTCAGGTGGAAGTTCAAGAGAGTGATGAGAGGGTAAGTACATGAGAATTTTACTGTACAGCTCAAGGCAAAAGAGAAGGTATCCTGTTGTGTCAGTAGCTGTACTATATAGGAGTGAAATTCTTAAGAATATTTGGCTCCTTATACTTGTCTGATATGTGCTCAGTTATTTGAATGGAAATTTGTCTATCCATTGTATGTTCCTGTGGCACAGAGCTAGTTCAGAGAGCCCAGAGTTTTTCAGGTTTACAGGAGTAAATGTTTTTGCTGGAACAGGCACTTAAGGAAGTTAGGATTATGTTTCTTGCCTGTCTCAGTGCTAACTTCTGATTCAAGATTGCAGATGCAACAGGCAGTGTCAAAGACAGGCTCTTTTTTCCCCCCCTTTCCTGACCCTCACCTTATGTAAATCTGCTTACAGTTTTCATTCTGCTTTTTTAAAATAATGTGTCTGTGTGTAATTTTTTCATATAATTAATAACATGCCATGATTTAGAAGAAAAGAAGCTACAATGATGCCACAGTCCTCAGGTGGCAGCAGGTGCACTCCACTGATTGTTTTGTTTTTTTTTTTCCCTCACTGCTGTTTAGGCTTGTTGTGTTTGTTGGCAGCCCAAGTTACCATTTTGGTTGCTTGCCATGCATATTTACTAAGTTTAAATAAATGGTGATTCTGTACTGATTAAATTATTCCTGAATATGTTGCAAAAATTCCGATGAAGGTTTAATATATTATCATCACTTTGTCTTCAGTATATGCAATAAAATGACAGACCCTTTCATGAAGAGTTTACATTGTAAAGATTAAAAAATCCAAAGGCTACATATATAAGCTCAGTCCTCATGTGGAGTGAGAAAATGGAGGTGTAAGGAATTTGTACAACTCGTATGGGAAATCAGGCTGGAATAAGCAGATGTATAAAGTTGATATATATAGAGGTGTAGTTTTCTGAAAAAAAAATATGTTTTGCTTTCCCCTGAAGGCAGGATCCAGTCTAGAATTTTCTTCTGGATTAGTCTCAGAGGATGCTGACCTGGAAGAAGGTACAGGTTCCTATCCCTCCGAACCCATGCTGTGCAGTGAAGCTGCTGATGGTGAAATACCCCATTCATTAGAGGTACTCTACCTTTCTGCTGAGTGTACCAGTGCCACAGATGCCTTGATCGTTCTGGTTCATCTTCTCATGATGGAGACAGGCTATGTACCTCAGGTAGGTAGGTGTAGCATCAAACAGAAATTTCTGGGTCAGTGTGGGGAAGCTGTGGGATGTACAAGATGCAACTGAGGATCTGCTTCTGCCTTTGTATGTCAGTTGGCTGCAGGGGCTGCTGCAGGATCAGCTTCTCAAAATTCCCTGACCAGAAAGTCTTCAGGTCAAAGACTGGAGCAGCTTCTGGGTGTGGAAGAAGAGGCCTGTCCTTGTGTTTCTTTTGGTCCTCAGCCTCACTAGGACCCAGCTGAATCTCCTGTTTCTGCCTTATTCTGTAGTGCATGTGCAGATGTTCTTAGGCTGTAGCACTTCCCCAAAGTAGTGCCTTAAGTGTTGGTGTCATCTTAATGATACCCTGCAAATGGTGCTTAATGAGGCCTAGGTCTGCCAAAAAACTGTCTCTTAATTCCATATTCACCTAAGTGTCACGTTTGGCTTTGGTTTTACTAATCTACAGAGGTATCATACTTGAACACCTATGGCAGTACATCTGTACAATGTATGGGTTCACTTTTTCCCTTTGCATTTTATGTTTACTAATACGTGGCTGAATATGGAGAAAAATACTTGGTCTCAGGCGGTTGTTTAAATTCCCATCTTTTTTCTTGCAGTGAGGCTGACTAAGCACATGTAGGTGTCTGGTTGACCAGTGCCAATTTAAAAAATCTGCTGAGTTCATTGCATCCCCATAATGTGAAGTACTATGTAAAGAATACGTTTGCCACTCGGAATAAAGTTTGTTTATGGCAGTGAGCAGGCTTGGAGGTAGGGAAGATGAATGCTGTGTGTCGCTCTATTAGGAACGGCGAGAAGAACGACACAGACTCTCTAAGGAGTTGGTCAGGAGTATGTCTCGTAGTTTATTACTTCAGCTCTGTTTTATAGACTGATACGTGGAAAATACAGAAAGGAAATTCTTATTGGTTAGCAAACCACTACATCACCATCGTTGGTCAGTGGGGCACACACCCCCCGACCTTCTCCTGCAAAGAAAACAAGGAACAGACAAACAGCACCTGCAAGGCTGTTTTCTGTCTTTGAGGATTGTTTTGAATCCTCCCATGAATTCCCAGGCTCCTTTCTCAGGCTGGACTGAGAGAGCTATGTGGCCTGTAATTTCTGCAGGCTCTCTGTTTCAGAGTTAGCATCCACAGCTGTGCATATTTAAGAGGAAAAAAAGAATATACTTTTGGTTAGATTGTATCCTCCTCTAATATTCCATATGAGCTATTTCATACTGAAATTGAAAGCAAACCTGTTAGTTCATTCAGGTTTTTTAATTAACTTAAAATTGTGATTCTTAAAGCCCTATCAGATACTGTAAGTTCACAGAAAAGGTGCAATAGCTTTTTTTTTGAACAGCAAATTGACTATGTGCAGGAGTTGTCAGAATGCTGGAATGGATGACAGGATGAGGTATGTGTCTCAAAGAAGTAGGTGTGAGTGCTCACTGGACAGGACAAAAGTTACTGAACTTCACTTAGATGTGCTGTTAGTTTTGGGGAAAATGTGTGTAATCATATATATTCATAATCACTGTGTCATTAGGGCTGACCTAAGAGTTGAATTGCAGGCATCATTCTGCCATTTCCTAACTTCTAATCGTTTTCTCACCTCTCAGCACTGGTTCATTGCAGAAGTATGACAGTGAGTTTGTGATCTCTTTACATCTGTAGGGGATAGAAGCCAAGGCAGTCTCTATGCCAGAGAAATGGAGAGGGAATGGTGTTTATAAGCTACAGTACACACATCCCCTTTGTGGAGAAGGTTCTGCTGGTTTGACCTGTGTGCCTCTGGGAGATCTTATTGCTATTAATGGTAAGTCAGTCAAGTCTTCATCCTGGATGCACATTCCTTAAGTATCAC